CCGCCAGTCGGCCATTTCAAACTTGATCCGGAAAAAAAAATGACGTGCATCAATTGCCTATTATGTTTAATGTATGTACCAAATTTGAACGAAATCCGTCCATCCATAACTGAGATCTGGGTTCGGAATGGTGAAAATGTGCGATTTCAATGCATTTTCGGCTTTAAAGCAGCCGCCATTTGGCTATCATTAATGAGATCATGAAACAAATGCACATACATATTTGTGACATGATGTACCTTGTATGTGTGAAGTTTGAACTTGATCAATCCAGACATGTCTCGGATACGGATCCAGAACTGAATTCTTTAAAACAAAATGGCCGCCAGTCGGCCATTTCAAACTTGATCCGGAAAAAAAAATGACGTGCATCAAGGTCATATTATGTTTAATGTATGTACCAAATATAAACAAAATCCATCCATGCATAACTAAAATCCGGGTCCGTAATGGTGAAAAGGTGGGATTTTGATGCATTTTCGGCCTTAAAATGGCCGCTATTCGGCTATCGTTAATCGGATCATGAAAAAAATGCATGTGCATATGTCCCATATAATGTGTGATGTATGAGTGAAGTTTGAACTTAATCGATCCATGCATGTTCGAGATACAGGTGATCACGGACGCACGCACGCACGGACGCACACACACACGGACGCACACAGGGCAAAACATAAGTCCCCGTTTTCGGACTACGTCAGAACGGGGACTAAAAATGTAATAAGCAGCCTCTCGGCTGAGATAGCTCCGCTGTTAGCAATGCACATTTCAATTAAAGAACAGAAGATATAATTAGAAAATGAACAATATGTATAGTATCAAAGTAATGGGACTTGCTGTTTTCAACAAGAATTCAAAAACATCATTTTTCATCATAAATGATTGTGGTTTTTAACAAGAAGTCGAAAATATCACTTTTTACCAAAAAATTACAAAAATATTCACCAAAATTAGAAAATTAAAGATATCATTACAAAATGAAGAAATCTGAGAGAGGTACATATTTAGTACCTATATATGTAATATCAAAGCAATTGGACTTGCGGTTTTAACAATAAGTCGAAAATATCATTTTTTACGAAAAATGACAAAAATATTCACCAAAATTACTGCGCTTTTTAACAAGAAGTCGAATATATCACTTTTTACCAAAAATGACAAAAATATTCACCAAAATTAGAGAATTGAAGATATCATTACAAAATGAACAAATCTGAGAGAGATCCACATGTAGTACCTATATATGTAATATCAAAGCAATTGGACTTGCGGTTTTTAACAAGAAGTCGAAAATATCACTTTTTACCAAAAATGAAAAAAATATTCACCAAAATTAGAGAATTAAAGATATCATTACAAAATGAACAAATCTGAGAAAGGTCTACATGTCGTACCTATATATGTAATATCAAAGCAATTGGACTTGCGGTTTTTAACAAGAAGTCGAAAATATCACTTTTTACCAAAAATGACAAAAATATTCACCAAAATTAGAGAATTGAAGATATCATGAACAAACCTAAGAGAGGTCTACCCAAGGTACATATACACCAAATATCAAAACATTCAGGCTTGTAGTTTTCAAGAAGAAGTCGAAAAAAGTAAAACATTGACACGGACGACGACGAACGCCGGACGGACAATCACTCATATGATAAGCTAAGCTCTGCTCGACAAAGTCGACAACGGGGCTATAAGAAACAACCACAAAAAATAAATCAAAAACATCTGTGATGAAAGAATTCTTACCTTGTACTTCTAGTGTTATAACCCTGGTGATATTACCCGCCTCATTAGATACATGACAAGTATATTCACCAGTGTGCGATATTTTAGCTGCACTTAGCAATAATGACCCACTGCTGAAGATCGTATATTTTTTGTCTTTATTCACTGCTGGTAACTTCAATTGATCTTTATACCACGTAACTTTAGGCTTAGGCAATCCATACACTTCACATGATAGTGTAACATTAGCGTTGACAAGTACAGTTTTGTATTTATCACCGTCACCAATGGTTGGTGGAACTGATAATAAAAAAACATAGTAAAACTATTGAAACCTTGCTTTATGTAGAGTTAAACAACAGGATAACGGGGAGGGTGTGTCGTAGCAAAATGTTGAAACAAGACAAAAATGGAATATCATAAAGAAAGCTGAATTTACGTGTAATTGTTCAACATATTAACTGAGTATTGTATCAAGCCTAATAGACCATTTTCCGTTCACTGCGAGAATCATGCGTTATGCGTGAAATGGAACGTAAAAACAGGACAAACAAAGGTCATAGCGTCATAGTGGCGTCAAACATCGCGTGGGATTCGACAAACACGAAAGTATTTTGGGGGACATTTCCATGCTTAATAGTGTACTGTATACATTTGATGATAGGCAATTTCGATTAAGTAAGGGTATTCGGAAGCAATATTCCTCTGTCGAAGATCGGCTGGTCAATGTGAGCTACAAAATAAAGAAATTTGAGTTCAAAATGAAAACGTTTGATTTTTACGGCAGGCGTTCAACATGAGGTCTCGCAATTGTACGGAAAATCACCTATTGTCACTATCTTAATTTCCACATTGTCATCACTGATGCAAATTGTCACTACAAACAAGAAATCTCCCTGACCACAAAAGCATACTGTACATATTGGATTTGAGTGCACACTGTCTTATGACAGAAATCTGCTTTACTGCAAGTATAAAAGTATCTATATTAATTAAATGATGGTCACAGGACAGTTATGACTTATACACCACAATTGCCGATAGTAGCTTCAATTAATCATGATTTATCAAATTTAATATTGGGAAATTTTAATTTTTAAACCATTTAATCACAGTAGGTGTGTAGAATAATAGAGTCTGATCTGATATACATGTATCATACTATACCCTGGGCACATCATATAGGTTCTGAGTTGTAGTTGCTAACAGTTATGACAATTTTGAGGCAGATGAAATTGACATATCGTTAGTAAACACAGCTGTTTCTGTAAATATTTAATGATAATTACTACAAGTATTGCATGATATTTCTGTGTATTATTGTGACTTTGCGGTGCTGAATTACTCATATTAAATCAGTAAAGTTGAATAATAATCAATGTGGTGTTATTGTGTGTGCATGCCCAGTCCAACGGACATACCTCCAAAATAAGTTGAGTAATTATTGATATTGCAACAATTAGTAATAATTAAGAAACTCATGCACACAAGATAGCAACTCTGAATAATAACATTTTTGCCCTTTTGACATACATTTCTTGTGACATGCAAAATGCAAAGGGAAAATGACTTACAATAATGGTTATACTTTATTAATCTACTAGGCCCTGTAACTATATACTCACCAAGTACGTCCAGGTTAAATACTGTAAAATGACTAATTTTCACTGGGTTTAAATTTCGCTGATTTACCATTTCAGACATATTCAGTGGGTTTTAAATTCACTGTTTTGTCATTTAGATTATGTGTTCTATGCTAAATTTTACATATCCACTGGGTTTTTAATTTAGCGCATTTTCCAGTCAGCGAAATAAGCAAAATTAAAACCCAGTGAATAATTAATCCTTTTACAGTATTTTGGAATTATTTCCGGCTACATTCATAGCAACACATTTATACTGTCCTATATCAGTAACATGCACTGTGGATTTAAAACAATATGTTTCCTCAAAAGGAAAATTATATATAATAATGCTTATACTTTATTAACCTACTAGGCCCTGTAACTATATACTCACCAAGTACGTCCAGGTTGAATATTTTGGAACTATTTCCAGCTACATTTGTAGCAACACATTGATACTGTCCTATATCAGTAACTTGAGAACTGTAAATTTGTAACAATGTATTTCCTCTCAATATACGAGGTCCCAGCCTGCTGTGCGGGTTCAAACGATTCCCATTTTTATACCACGTTATTGTAGGCGATGGGTTGGCATCAGTGGCACACTCTAATGCTGCTGGTTTATGTTGAATCACTTTAACATCATTTGGTAAATGTGAATCTTCCATGTTAGGTGGTGCTGTAAATAAAACATAGTGATACAATTATAGTAGATTTTCCATAATAAAATTATGTTGTGGGAGGTGGATACAAATTGGTTGTGCTTTCAATTTTGATTTTTTACTAAAATGGCCATCAGTCATTCAAAAGTCAATGAAATAAAAAATAATCAATGTCAATATGTCTTTTCTTTGTAAATAATTTCAACAAAAACTGCCATATCTGGTGCAAAATATAGTTAAGAGCACATGCAAATGAAACCACCATGGCCACCAGTCAGCCATTTTGTGTTGAAAGCATAAAACACACTGATATGCATCAGTTTGCATAAAATCAGCCAAGGCATTTCTGGAAATGGTTAATGACATGTTCAAACAGTCAGTCAGAAGCCATCAAAATGAAAAACAAATAATCATACCTATGTATGTCTTTCTTAAGTAGCTAAATAATTGGTCAAAGCATGTCGAAGGGATGGTTAAGAACACGTAAAAAAAAATAAAACCAAAATGGCCATGAGTTATCACAATCAGTTCACAAAACAAAATGACATGCATTATGTGAATTGTTAAGCCTAAGTTTGAATAAAATCAGCGAAGACATGGCATGTTTGTAACTGATTTTGATGAGTTTTAGAGACAAATATGGCCACCTGTTGATCAAAAGTCATCAACAAAAATCAAATCG